CATCTCGATTTCTGTTTTTGCTGGTTCATCTCGATTTTGTTCATCTATTGATTTCTGATTTTGTTTCTCCTTGCACTGCAAATCACAGATAGTTGCTCGCTTTCTCCAGAAACGAGTTCAGTGTCGAATTCCAGACCCGAAAACTCTCGTTATAAAGTTGCCGTCTGTCAAGGCTCATATCTGAGATACTGCCGGTCAAGAACGGTATGTGTTTACGTCTCTTTACTGTTTGTTTGTGTCCGTGTACCAAAATGTGGTTTCACTCTTCTTATGGAAACGATTTTGGCGCATCAATGATCCTTGGCTTTGACTCCTTTCACCAGCCTAGTAGATCATCATTCTCTGAAAATTTTGTCTATAGTTGGGTAATAAGAAGTGACATCTAAAATGATTCTTGCATATACTGCCCTTGCATCATTAGACAATATTCACAACTAGGATTAATGTAACCCCAAGTGGATGATACCYATACATGTTATTTTCTTCCACTAACCAATCTGGACAAGTTGTGGTACATATCATGGTTCACTATCTCAATTCTAGATACTTTCCATCTAATATAATCAAGACCATCTTCTGTTACTTCCTGATCATGCTAATTCATCTCTACATTTTTTTAATCAGTAGCAAATTCCGTATATGAACAATGAAAGCAAGATCTAGGAAAAGATTATTTGAAAAAGGATGGTAATAGATATTGTTATTTACCTTCTGGTGCTGGCGGTTTGATTCATCACAAACCCAACTCATYTCCAATTCAAATGTCTTGTCCTTTGCCTCATCATGTACTCCATAGATTCTGCTTACCAACATCAACAAGTTAAAACAAACTGAAAGAAATTTTTTAACTGATATAAATGCCGAGAGCAGAAAAATAATTTTTACATCTAGGAGCACACATAGAGACCACTAACTAAGACATATGTATCCTCCAAAAACCAATGATCACCATTCTGATAATGAGATTTGTTTCCATACTTTTTTGATTTTGTGGACATTAATCCAAAAATGGGTTCTTTTCAGCTGTCTGCATTCCAGTTGCGTATATTGAGGCTGGAAATGGTTCCTCCCTAGTTGTTTTATCAGCAAAAACCGAATAAAACCCATCCTGTAAATAGACTATAATCGAACCCATGAAATAAAAAATAACCTTGCTGAGAAAAGACTTGTCTGACCTTGAAATAACATGACTATGTTKCCCCTGTTTCTTACCCCTGTAACAGCTGCTGCTGTTTACTTCTGCTGCTGTTACAGCAGCTTTGTTACCACTCAGTTATGATGTGGATGGTCATGGGTATAATTTAAAGTTGTAGTCAGTGTGTGAATGTGGCATATATCCTAGGTTTTTTTGTTTCTCACAACAATTATCATATAAGCTATCTTTCTGCATGAATGAAGTTTGCCCTCCTACAAAGTAACCTGACTAATTTGGATGGATTCATATTAGATTATGTTCCCAATTTTG